GAAAGGGCCAGCCAATTTTTGCCTACCCAGTAATTTAAAAAGGCCAGAAATGGTTCCATGGCAGAGACAACAAAAGAGAATGATGCCTCTTTTAGGTTTTCCCAGTTTAGACTATGCTTTTGCCTTATGCCACTTGACTCACATATAGTTTCATTTTCAAATAAGAATACTCACATTGACCCATGGACAAGTTGACCCAATTTTTTGGGAAGTTGACTAAACTTTATATACATGAGTATATAACTCAGTGGTTCTCAACCTATGGGTCCCCAGGTGTTTTGGCCTACAACTCCCAGAAATCCCAGGAAAAGAGATTTAAAGATGGGCTTAAAGCTAATCTTAAAAATTGTGGCATGGACACTGAGAACTGGGATGCCCTTGAGCGTCTAACTGGAGATCAGCTGTGACCAGCAGTGCTGCAGAATTTGAAGAGGCACGAATGGAGGATGAAAGGGGGAAACATGCCAAAAGGAAGGCATGTCCAGTCAGCCCTGACCAGGACCAACTTCCACCAGGAAACTGACGCCTTCACTGTGGAAAAATGTGCAGATCAAGAATAGAGCTCTACAGAAACCTACGTATCCACCGTCAAGACACAACATTTGAAGGGCCATCATACTCAGAGAGCAAGGCCAACGAGGGGATGAAGTTACAAAAGGTAAGTGCACAAAAAGTTGAAAAATACGACTTAGCGGTCTTAGAACTGAAGTACATGATGTTGTTTTTAATTACAACAGTATAATTTCCACAAGTTGACATTGTTCTTAGCACAAAACTCACCTGACATTTTGCTCCTGCAAACTGGCAGATTTTGAAGATCTAGAGCAGTGGTCCTCAACCTGTGGGTCCCCAGGTGTTTTGGCCTACAACTCCCAGAAATCCCAGCCAGTTTACCAGCTGTTTGAATTTCTGGGAGTTGAAGTCCAAAACATCTGGGAACCCACGGGTTGAGGCCCACTGATATAAAGTATGTCCTCTGACTAGCAAACAGTTCTTGAAAACTCGTAGTTTGAGGTTCTTTTTGTTGCGAGGGCAAACATAATAAAACTATCCATTCCTGCCAACAGACCCAATAGCACCAAGATGTATATCTCTCTAAAAGAGGACACCAATTTTGCTTTATCAAATTTTTGCTTAACATAATTATTTTAAGTTGTAAAAACAATTAAAAAACTCAAATTCCAAAAAAACAACAACCCTGCTTAAAGAAAGATTCATATTCCTTACTCCAATCTGTCAACTTCTGTGACCTCTTCCCCAGAAACATCTTTAATGGATCCTGGACAGTGTAGGCTTCTGGGTGTGTATGTACATGGTTGTGTTGTAAAAAAAAAAAAACTTTTTTCTCAGGACTAGCCTTATCTTCAAGCAGAGTAAGGAAACTACAGTATATCAAGCCAGTGATAAGGAAGCATGACATATCAACATGGAAAGGTCACTTGGCTAAACCTGATGCCAACTTTTAACCACCATCTGACTTTCTGCACTTGGAATTGGGAAGGCCCATTTATCTGCTACTCATCAGGTAATGAAATTTCTTAGGACACTCCTTCGTAAAACTTCATTAAGGAGACATCCAATTGGATGAAAAAGTCCAGAAAGTCCCAGATTTGGCTTTTGTTTTCTTCTAGTTTTATTTTAGACATACATACACACTTTCCCCCCTTAATATTTTGTTAGTTTCTGGTACAATCAGAATAAGAAGCAAGATTTGGGATTTGCCAATTTGTTTGCATTGATTGACTAACCAAAATATTTCAATTACAGGCAGTCCCTAAGTTATGAACACTTGCAAACAATTTTAAGCTGATTTTGTATGTAAGTCAGAACAGGTGCATTTTAAGTGTAAGTCCAATCATGCACATACACATGGGGGTGCAGCAAGTTAAACCACTGAGCTGTTGAACTTGCTGATGGAAAGGTTGGTGGTTCGAATCCGGGGAGCGGGGGGTGAGTTCCCGCAGTTAGTCCCAGCTTCTGCCAACTCAGCAGTTTGAAAACATGCAAATGAGAGTAGATCAATAGGTACTGCTTCTGCGGGAAGGTAACACTGTTCCATGCAGTTATGCTGGCCACATGACCTTGAAGGTGTCTTTGGACAATGCTGGGTCTTTAGTTTAGAAATGGAGATAAGCACCACCCCCCAGAGTCGGAAACGACTAGACTTAATGAAGAAGAAACCTTTATCTTTACCACACACACACACACACACACACACACACACATGCTTGGATAGCACAGGGAAGGCCTAACATTCTTGTGGTGTTTTCTTTGCTGTCCTTGCCCCTGTTCAGAAGATTTCAACTCACTTTCTGTCCCTGTGGTAATTCAGTTTTGAAAAATTTGGTGCGTTGTGGAAACAAGGATTGGTGAGAAAAGCTTCAGTGGAGACTCCTTTTCTTCATAACTCTTCCAGGAGTGAATTTCCCTTCCAAGGGGTAGATTTCTCTCTCTTCCTGTTGTCTCACACCTGTTCTTACCTATGGGTCGTTTATAACTTGGATGTTTGTAACTCAGGGACTGCCTGTAATGTTAATATTTTCACAATGATCTGTTAAACATGAGGTATTATTTAGGGTTTTTGCTTTAGTGGCAAAACTTTATTATCTTAGCATGCTGGTCAGAGATATAGAGCTCTCACATTTTGAATTCTATACCTCAGCCCACAATATTCAGAGTGGGGTTGCCATTTCCTTCTTCTGACACCCAGAGAATGTAACTTGCACCAGGGGGGTTCCATCTCTAAACAGAGATTCAAACCCTGGACTCCAGAGTAGGAATCCAACACTCAAGACTAGGTAGGTTCTCACTCCCACTAGCCTAACGTTACTATTTTTTTCCAATGTAAACAAACAAAAAAGCTGTCTTTTGCAAATGACAGGTCTTGCATGAAATGGCACTGCCAAGCACTCATTTCATCAGCCACTATTTCTCATCCTCCGCAGTCATAATCTTTTACAACCTAATTACGCATTTTGTGTTTATCTCAAAACGAACATCAAGAGATCTGGGAAGCTGGCAAGATGCCCAATTCGCCAAGTCCTAATGTTTCAGGTTTCTTGCGAGCAGCAATGAATCCCATGCTTGGTGCTATTGGGTCTGTACCAGACTGCTGCCCTGCACCGTGTGTGTGTGTGCTATTGGGTCTGTACCAGACTGCTGCCCTGCACCGCGTGTGTGTGTCACCTTTTCTGTGTCGGAGGGAGGGAGGGAGAGAGATTCCCACACCACAATGTCTAATTGTAATATGTTGCCATTGTGAAATATACTGTTTTGAAATTGGGTCCATCCTTTCAAAACATGCTGTATATACACACATACATATATCATTCCCCCCCCCCACCCCCAGGGAGATAGGGCATGATATATATAAAGTTATTACTGGGTTGCTGTGAGTTTTCCAAGCTGTATGGCCATGTTCCAGATGCCAAACATAGCTGAGGGTGTAATGTCAGGAGAGAATGCTTCTGAGGATGCCTGTCATAGATGTGGGTTAAACACCAGGAGATAAAGCTTCTGGAACACAGCCATGCAGCCTGGAAAACTCACAGCAACCCAGTGATTCCAGCCATGAAAACCTTTGACAACACATTGAACATCTCTATGGAAGAAACCATTCCAAGACTGAGAATGCCTACCATAGATGTGGGTGAAACATCAGGAGAAAATGCTTCTGGAACATGGCCATCCAGCCCGGAAAACTCACAGCAACCCAGTGATTCCAACCATGAAAGTCTTCGACAACACAAAGTTATTGTTGTTGTTGTTGCAGGAACTCTCTCTCTCTCTTTCAAACACACACGCACACACACGTATGATCCCTTATCTAAAATGCTTGAGACGAAAAGTAATTTGGATGTATTTACTTTATTATTATTATTATTATTATTATTATTATTATTATTTCGGAATACCCCTACTTGTATCTACATGCATTATGAAATACTTTGCAGATGAGACTTAAGACTAAACCCAAAGGCCATTGGTATTTCCTATATACCTTATATATATAGCCTGAAGGCTAATTTTATGCATTTAATAAAGTTGGCAACAGAACAGCCAACATTATTAAATGAACCATCAACCATCAGATAGCATAGTATCTCTGCCACTGAGGTGGGTACTTTGGTAATATTTCCAAATTCCAGATAAAAGATGCTTAACCTGTACTTAAAAGGGGGAAGAAGAGGTGGAATGTGATGGGAGGAGGCCTAAATTGGGGAGGTGCAGAAGGCTGAGAAGGAATAAGGTAAATGTAAAGGTTTCCCTGACATTAGTCTGCTTGTGTCCAACTCTGGGGGTTGGTGCTCAACTCCATTTCTAAGCCAAAGAGCTGGCGTTGTCTGTAGACACCTCCAAGGTCTTGTGGCCAACATGACTGCATGGAGCGCTGTTACCTTCCTGCAGAAGCGGTACCTACTGATCTACTCACACTTGTATGTTTTTGAATTGCTAGGTTGGCAGAAGCTGGGGCTAACAGCAGGAGCTCACCTTGCTCCCCAGATTCAAACCGTCAACCTTTCAGTCAGCAAGTTCAGCAGCTTGGGCGTTCAACCTGCTGCACCACCTATGTGTGTGTGTATATGTATGTGTGTGTGTGGTTGGAATTACACTTCAAATTGCACCTCTTCTGACTTTAACTCCCACATTTCCTAACAGCCTCAGGCCCTTTTGGACTTCAACTCCCACCATTCCTAACAGCCTCAGGCCCTTTCCCTTTGCCCCTCAGCCGCTTAAGCGGCTGAGTGGCAAAAGGAAGGGGCCTGAGGCTGTTAGGAATGGTGGGAGTTGAAGTCCAAAACACCTGGAGGGCCCAGGTTTGCCCATGCCCGAGATAGATACATAGATACACAGATACACACATTTAGCAGGAGTTACGATGCAAAACTGTGCCTGTTCCGACTTAGAAACCAATTCAGCCGAAGAACAAGCCCGCAGCACCGGTCTTGTTCGTAAGGTGGGGACTGCGTGTACCTCCTGGCCCTCCTGGCCCTCCTTACCTGCCTGGAGCCATTGCGGGCTTTGCTGGGGGCGGCGTCGCGGCTCTCCTCGGCGGGGCCGATCCCATTGCAGGCGGGCCGAGGCCGAGGCGAAGGCTGCCCGCCGTTGGCTACTCCTCCTCCGGCTCCCTCCTCGTCCTCGGCCGGGAAGAGCCCGCAGCGGCGCTGGAAGCGGGCCACGGGCTGGGAGTCCATGAGACTGCGGAGCAGGCGGGCCAGCATCGTCGCCCCCATCCGGGCCAAGTGGGGCGGAGGCCAGACCCCGAGCGAGCGCGCCTTCCCTTCCTGCGCGTGGAGAGGAGACCACGGCGCGCGGCCCGCGTTGCGAGGAGGAGGAGGGGGGGGCGGAGACAGGTGCAGCCGCCTTAGCCCCGCCCCGCCCCTCCCCTCCCGCAGGTGCCTCTGCCTCCCCTCCCCGCCTCGATCCCCTTCCCTTGCTGGAGGCCTCCTGCCTTTCCCTTGAGTCATCCTCCTCCTCTGCTATTGGCGCTTTTCTGTTTTGTTGCAGCCAGGGAATGCTTGCAATTTGACCCAAAGGACCTTGGTCACTCACAGTGTGGGTATGCCTGTCACAGGAAAGCTGTATTGCTCCAGGGACAGGCATGTAGCCGGGGGGGGGGGGGGGCTCGGGGGGCTTCAGCCCCCCCCGAAATTCTCATGGTGGTTCGCGAAAAGGCCTTACTGGTGCATTATTTAAACTGTTATGTTTATTCATATCATGATCTGATCACCATACTCAATATATCCCATATGCATGGGGGTATTGGGGTAATGATACAAAAGGTTTGCTAGGGTAGACCCTCTTTCACTCAGACTCAGCCCCCCCGAAACTCAGCCCCCCCAAAAAACCCCCTGAAATTTTTTAGCCCCCCCCCCCCCCCAAACGAAATCCTGGCTACGGGCCTGCCCAGGGAGGTGGATCTCAGGTGGCTTCCACCTATCTTTAGGGACATCTACATTGTAGAATCAATGCCACTTACACCACTTTAACTGTCATGACAGTGGTTCTTGTTGCGCAGCCACGTCTTAGCCACGTCCAGGCATGGGGGGGGGTTAGGGGTTCAACTCAACCCCCCCCCAAATTTTTCAGGTTTTAAAAAAACTGGTTTACTCATGAATTTTAACTGGTTAACCAAATCCCCATGCTAAGTCTATGAGACGGAAAAAATTAAGAGTCCCTCCAGAACTGTAAGCGCTATCTCAAGCAAATATTGACAATTTATTCACACTGTCATTACTTGCAGCAATAGCTGATGTAGCGAAGCAACCCAAGTTGGGGGGAAGTGTTGAATGCTCTCATTAAGGAGGCCAGACTTGGTGGAGGTGGTTGACAGGAGCAGAGCTGCAGGCTATTGAAGGCTGCTCTGCCCTCTTAGAGTTATCCTCTGATGGTATTATTCCCTGCTGTGCCATGCACACAGCAAAATGCGGGCCACTGGGACCACAACAGAGTGTGCAGTGTCATGCTGTTACAAGAAAGCAACACTGAAAGCTAAGCACAGGGCTGTGCTGCAGACAACTGCCTCTGCACTGGCGTTTCTGAACTGCAGTCTGATAGAGAAGTTGACAAAGAAGCAAAAGAGCCATTACATGTATAACAGGAATGGAGAGGATTCCCTGGAAAATCAAGAACAACAGCGCATCAGTGATGTTATTTAATCTGTTAGGTCAAATTAAAGGAGTTCCCAAAATTTAATTTGGCACAGTCACTTTCAGGAACAATTTTAGAGGTGTTCAATATCCCACACAGCAATGCTTAATTTCTTGGTAGTACTCCTCTAGGTTTCTAGGTTTGTTGGGATATATTGCCTTCAAGATGCAAGAGAGGATGATGCCCTAGCTCAGTGTGCCTCAACCTGGGGGTCGGGACCCCTGGAGGGTCACAAGGGCATCCCCTTGTGACCCTCCAGGGGTCCCGACCCCCAGATTGAGGGGTCAGAGGGGTCACCAAAGACCATCAGAAAACACAATATTTTCTGTTGGTTGTGGGGTTCTGCATGGGAAGTTTGGCCCAATATATCATTGGTGGGATTCAGAATGTTCTTTAATTGTAGGTGAATTATAAATCAGAAGTAAGTTTTGCTTGTTGGGACCAGCTCAAGATGTTTGCTGACAAAGAACAAATGGCATCATCTGCCCCCACAAAGAAAGGTGTGTAGTACCAAAAGCCAGCCAGGTTATTCTGGTATAGGAGGTTGAAAATCCATCAAGCACCACCCTTGTAGAAAATTTAGTAACAACTATGTAATACTTTGCTGTGAGACCAAAGTTGCTGCCTGAAACACAGTGCTTAATGGTAAAGCCAAGTGTGTTGAAGGCTTCTTCTATACTGCCCTATTTCCAAGGATCTCATCCCAGATTATCTGCTAATCTCAGATTATGTGGCAGTGTAGAGTCATATGATCCAGTTCAAAGCAGATAATCTGGGATCTGATCCTAGGATATATGGTGGTGTATATCCAGTCATAGTTTCATGAAACTTTACAACGTTTACACCCTAGGTATCTGTTTCATTGTGGCCCCATTTTGTCTGCAAGCTCTCTAGGGATGCTTCATTGATATTTTTATGAGATTCAGGCAGAAAATAGCCATTGTGCAATGTGCTCAAGGAGAACGATGCATTTAATGCATTATTTGTACTTGCCAGGAGTCTGCTAAAATATATTCTCAAGATGAGCTAAAGGGGCTATTGCCTCATTAGAAATTGTTTAGAATATTTACTGTTCTTTGTGCTAAGAGGACTTTAAGGTGATGTACAATTCATTAAAGTCATAAAAGAATAAAACCTTTGACAATGAGCCAATTTATAATAATTGAAGTTTCTTTGCCAAATGTGAACATTTTTGCTTGACACCAATAAGACTGCAGTGTAGTTGGAGAATAAGCAGGGGAGGCTCAACCATTACGCAAAGTAAGCATTTGCAGTATAGTTGATTTTGCCCAGGGACATTCTTGAGGAGCTCTTGGGAGAAAATAGACCTTGACATATGCAAGTTGTAGTTCCTGGGATGTATAGTTCACCTAAAATCAAAGAGCATTCTGAACTCCACCAATGATGGAATTGAACCAAATATGGCACACAGAACTTCCATGATGAACAGAAAATATATATCAGTGATTGGTTGGGGGGAGGGGGGCAAAATACTGTTTGCTTACCATTGAAAATTACCTAGGGCCACCTCTGAGAATAAGAGTTCTTGGAGTTACAATATAACTCCAATAATGGAGTCACCTGGAAGTGAATCTTAGAATAAGATATTACAATCCTAAGCAAATTGATCTTGGAATGGGTGCCCTACAAAATACATACATCCCAAGCCCTTTGGGGTTTTAAATGTCAGTATCAGCAATATGAAGTTAGCAAAAATTAAAACAGGAACAATGCACCTTGTTCAAAGTTGGCTTAATATGTACAAACATGACCCTATCATTCCAAATTCTGGCAGACATATTCCACACCGTTTTGTGTTTCTGAGATACCAAAACTTACAGCATTGGCAGGTAGGTGCTTATTAATTTTGACTGCTTCTTCAAATGTTTTCAGAGGGAGGGCAATTTAACGTTTCCCATCCATTATAATTGAAGCATCCACTAATATCAGACTCTAAAAAGTACAATGTATATTGTGTTTAGTGTAGCTTACTTCCAAATAACCATTCATAGGACAGAATGTAGCCCTTATTATTCCTAGGGAGGTTCCGTGATAATTGCTGTCATAATATTTCCAAGTGCCTGATCATTTAGATTGATAATTCTTGAGAAGGTTCGACTACATAAAGACCTTGGTGATCTATTTAACCACATCATGATATTTATGTTTGGTGGTGGGGCCTGTTTTCCCTCTCTTGTTCCAGGAACTATGCTAAGATGTCTTCAAGAGTAGCTCATATATAGTGAATTCAATTGCAGCCAAGAAATCACCAGAGCAAATATCATATTGGACAGGTTAAATCTGTCTAGAAACAGCTGAAGTTGGTGATCCAAACAAGGCTGGAAAACAGCACTACATACTCCATCTGGATTTCTATAAATCCTTTTTGTTCCAAGTAGAAGCCCAAAACAACACACACACACACACTTCCACTCAGATATGGTATAAATTGCTCATATATCTACTTTTATATTGGAAAAGTGTTGCTTACTTAGAGTTTTGCCTTCCATAGTACACAATTTCTTCTGGGGTTTTGTTCCAGGATTCTCTGCGAATAACGCAATTATTGGATGTTCCAGTCCCATTGTACAGTTTTCTTGTTTCTTCGTTTAGTCACTTCTGACTCTGCGTGACCTCATGGACCAGCCCACACCAGAGCTCCTTGTCAGCCATGGCCACCCCATCTCCTTCAAGGTCAAGCCAGTCACTTCAAGGATACCATCCATCCATCTTGCCCTTGGTCTGCCCCTCTTCCTTTTTCCTTCCATTTTCCCCAGCATCATTGACTTTTCTAAGCTTTTCTGTCTTCTCATTATGTGGCCAAAGTATTTCATCTTTGCCTCTAATATTCTTCCCTCCAGTGAGCAGTCAGGCTTTATTTCCTGAAGAATGGACTGGTTGGATCTTCTCTCGGTCCAAAGCACTCTCAGAATTTTCCTCCAACACCACAGTTCAAAAGCATCTTCCTTCACTAAACCTTCCTTATGGTTCACCTCTCACGTTCATAGCTTATTACGGGGAATACCATTGCTTTAACTATGAGGATCTTTGGGCCAGTGTTTTGTCTTTACTATTCACTATTTTATCAAGATTGGTCAGTAGTATAGTATAATGGTGTCCCATATATAAAATGGGAAAATCAAAGGGTCTTTTTAAACCTTTTCTTTTTGGGAATATTTTAGAGGTCAGTTTGGCTGGATCCATGGGTGCAGAATCAACAAACATTGCTGATGGTGATGATGGTGATGATGATGATGATAGTTTTATTTCTTACTTGACACTCCTTGAGACAGGTTACAAAACAATTCAAATACACAAGCACATCAAAAACACAACAAACACACACACTAAAATATACCTCCATAAAAGTTACACACCAAAACATATCTCTACAAAATACATACTAAAACACACAAAACAGAGATTAAACAAGGGACATACATTTATAATTCATGTTTAAAGACTGTCTGGGTAGATCTTTACATGGTTTTAATATTCCGACACCTCATTTAGTTGTTGGAGTTCTTCTGGCAGGTTGTTCCATAGTCGTGAGGCAGCCTATAAAAAGGTCCTCTGTAGTTGCCAGTCAGGTTCTGGCTGGTTGAGGCAGATACCCCCCAGAAGA